GGGCGCGGTGGCTCATGCTGGTAATCCCGGCACTCCGGGAGGTCGAGGCAGGTGGATCACCTGAGCTCAAAAGTTCAAGACCAGCCTGAACTACAGCGAGATCCGGTCTCTAAAAATTAGCTGGGTGTTGTGGCAGGTTCCTGTAGTCCCAGCTACTCGGGAGGCTGAGGCAAGAGAGTTGCTTGAGCTCAAGAGTTGGAGGTTGCTGTGAGCTATGATACCATAGCACTATACCGAGGGTGACAAAGTGAGACTGTCTCAAAAAAAAAGGTCACTAGAGTCCAAGAGTTTAAAGTTGCTGTGAGTTACAATGATCCCACAGCGCTCTACCCAGGGCAACAGAGTGAGACTCTGTCTCAAAAAAACAAAGAACATATCTCTGGGCTCTTTCCATTCATTGTACACGTGGAGTGGTCTATTCTTTTTAGTAGCTGCATCATATTCCACTGTACACATAATTTACTTAAGGCGTACCAGATGAACACTAAGGTGGTGTCCATTACAAATAATAAATATTCTCGTCACATATAAATAATTGACCCACTTACAATTTATTTGACATAAAGACTGAGGTAGGAACCTGGCTTTACTTTTTCTAGATGACTATTCAATCTTTAATCTACTGGTGCAAAATACTATTTCTATCTCACTCTAAAGTCCTATATCTGTTTGGTTCTATTTATGAATTTTTTTTTCCTAAGGACTTGGATTTGAACTCTGTTCAATTTCAAAGCCAAGGCATACAGTTTCCCCTACAGTAAAATGTTGACTCTAACATTTAGCCTAACCTTTTCATTTTACTGATGAGGAAATGAGGTGCATATCAAAATAATGCAGTTATTTAACTAAGGCCAGTGGCAGGATTCTTCACAGAATCTTATAAAAAGTTCAACACTCATCCAATACAACTCACATGAATGTTTTCCAGAAAGATCTTCATTGGACTGGGAAGGAGGTAAACAGTCCCCTTTCTGCTTCCATGGTGTGAAAAAAGTAAAAATTATTATATCTAATTTGTAGCATGTCATACCCGGGTCACCCAATGGCTTGAAAGAAAAAAATCCAATCAATAAACCAATATACCAATATTTAGTATCTACCTCCAAATCCAACTTATACTTTTTAAATGATCAAAATGGCATAAATTATTTCTGGCTCGACATGTAGAAGAAGCTCGGTAACTATTGATTCCTTCTCTCTTTTGTGTCCAAATTATTTAAATATAACCTGCCAACATGCCAAGTTCAGGCACTCAATATTCAACAATCTTCACCCACCTTAGTGTTTGCCAGGAGGCCACCGATATGAAAAAGTAAATTAATGGGCTTGAGAGAGACAAAGTGTACTAGAAAATGACAGCGTAATCTGATCTTAGGGTAAAACCAGTTAAAATTGGGAAAAAAACAGGGTAGAAACTATTCTTAGTAGTGATAGAAAGTATTAAAAACATACAAAAAGAAACTACATTTAACAACAGTACGGGACCAATGATGGAGTCTGCAAATTTTATTGACGTCTACAAACCAGGAAGTAAATAAATGGAAAGAAATTTTATAATTCTGCATAGAAATTCTTTATATCATCAGTAGATCAAATTTTACCAAGAAATACATGCACAAGGCAATTTTAATCACAATCTCAATGGAACACTTTTATTTGGTTACTACTTGACATGACTTCAAAGTTCAAAATAAGTGCCTGAGAGTAGGAAAACAGTCTATTACAAGTAGAACAACATGATATTGGTCCAAGAGTGGAAAAATGGATGTATAGAACAGGACAGAAAATCTAGCAACAGACCCTCATTATCTAAGTACTTATTATCGGGATGTCTTGGAATCCCTTAAGTTACAAGATTTCAAAAAGTCATTGAAACATTGTTGGGAATCTGAATAGCTTTAATTTTGTTGGAAGATTGTTTATTTGTCCATTTAAATTAAAAAAAAAACATGTATCTTTTTACTCTGTCCTATGGACGTAAAATTACACTTCTTAAACTTGTATGTGCAAGAAGATTTACTACATTATCATTGCAGCAACAAAACAGGATGGAGCCGGGTGCTCATCAGGAGAACAATGAGGGATCATGGGATTTTTTTTTTTTTTTTTGGAAAGAGTCTCACTTTGTCACCCTCATTAGAGTGCTCTAGCGTCATAGCTCACAGCAACCTCAAACTCTTAGGCTCAAGTGATTCTCTTGCCTCAGCCTCCAGAGTAGCTGGGACTACAGGTGCCTGCCACAATGTCTGGTTATTTTTAGAGACAAGGTCTCACTCTGGCTGAGGCTGGTCTCAAACCTGTGAGCTCAGGCAATCCACCTGCCTCAGCCTCCCAGAGTGCTAGGGGGTGTGAGCCAGATTATGGGATATTAAAGAGTAAAGAAAATAAGTTAATATATTGACCTGGAAAGTGGAGAAAGACATATCAAGCTATGACTAGGGATAGCATTCCGTAGATAGGACTGGACGGGGGTTCTTTCAGTTTTACTTTAACCCCTTTTGTTTGATATTTGTACAGTAAGAATGTACTTTCTTCCATAGTAAAATGACCAATAGAGTTTTTTGTTTTTATATTTATTTATTTATTTTTTGAGACAGAGTGTTACTATGTCACCCTTGGTAGAGAGCCGTGGCATCAGAGTCACAGCAACCTCAAACTCCTGAGCCCAAGCGATTCTCTTGCCTCAGCCTGCCAAGTAGCTGGGACTACAGGCGCCCGCCACAATGCCCAGCTATTTTTTGGTTGAAGTTGTTATTGTTGTTTGGTGGGCCCAGGCTGGATTCAAACCTGCCAGCTCTGGTGTATGTGGCTGGCGCCTTAGCCTCTTGAGCTACAGGCACTGAGCCTTCAGTGTACATTTTAAAAATATTTTCCACTAAACGTGAAAAAAAATTTTTACTTAAAAAGAGAAAGAAAGAAAGTGAATGCATGTCCCTAATGTTGACCATGCTGTCAGAGTGAGATTTGAGCCACAGGGTGAGGAGGAACTCCTTAATAAGAAAATAATTTGCAAATATATGTCTAGAGATCATTCTCACCACCCTATGTGGTTCCTTATATTACAGAGGAGGAAAAGAGATCCATCCACACTGGTGAAGTTTGCTCAGTCAGTGTTCATGATGTGATCATTTGGGTGAACCTTCCAAGTCAGGATTTCGCAGCACATATTTGACCCGTGAAAGTACTGGTCGGGCAGGTCTGGGTATGCATTTGTAGGTAAGCCTTATCCCATCTGGATCCCTCTACTTAGCTGAGTTAGAAGTCCCTACTGGAGGAGCTGCCCTCTCAGGCATTTAGAGATTACCAGGAAAATTGAAGACCTCTGTCCCTGTCCCAGTAAACTGACTGTGAGAACCTGGGGGCTCGTTCTCCTGCTCCCAGTGCTGGGACCACACTCAGAGACCTGAATTTTCAAACTTGAATGAGACCTTAGCACAGTAGAATATTTACTTCTTTACTCAGGACTGCCAAATACCTAGATAATCACTCTTTAGTAACCGCTGTAGGAGTGTACACACCACACACACATATTCTTTCAGGCCAGCCAAATTTAAGAGTTTATCCTGGGAAAAGGAGGATTTCCCCTGAACCTCCACCTCCACTCCTGCAAGGGCCAGAGCTGGAGGAAGAGACATTAAGGATTGCTGGAAATAAAAGGAGTTGGAGAAAAGAGGACATTCCAAGATTTCTCTCCTAAAAAGAAACATGTTGGTTGAACTACTTCAATGAGCAAGTGGGGCTAAGTGGTGATTATTGAGACCCCTGCAAGGGAGGGTTGGGTGGGTTGCCTGTAGGTTTGGTTTGGCTGGGTGGGGGAAGCAGTGACAGTTGGAATGGGAGTCATGAAGAACAGGGGCAGTCTGTGTGGAGGGGTCTCAAGTCTGAACTTCCCAGGCAGTGCTCAGACTCTCCTGATGGTGAATGTCACATACATGTATGATGGGGTAGGCTCAGATAGGAGTTGGGGTGGGCAGGATGGAAGGGTGGATTCCCACAACCCACCTGCATGAATATTGGGTGAATGGAGGGGTCCAAAGATGTAAGATATTCAGTGGTTGACTCTTCTGTGAGCCAGCTCAATTCTCCTGCAGGCTAGTGTCTGGGAAATACTATTCCTGTCCTTAGTTACCATGGTAGTTTGGAGGAATAAGGGTTAACATAGTGATGCTATGTACAGTCTATTCACAAGCTGACCCAGTCCTGGTGCCCTGCCCCTGGTCCCAGAGTTCAGGGCTTCTAGTTGTCCTTATACCCTTCCAGTGAAGGCCTCGTCCCTCCATCTCAGCAGCCCAGCCGTGGCTGAGATGAATGCCCTCTAAACACTGGAGTAGCCAGCACACTGCATAATGTTGAGTTTATATTAGCAACAGCTTTTTAGCTGATGCCTAAAGTAGCCTTCTGGGCCCGGCAGCACTTACTGTATGAAGTGCTGACCAACAGGATGGAATTTGGTTGTTCTAAAGTTCCTGTATAAAGGGCATAAAGCTTGCCTAATATAGACCCATCTAAAAGGAAGCTAAGCCTGGGAAAGGCTTGATCCATTCCCTTTTCAGCAAGCATTCTCTTGTGACCACTAATAGTACTTTGCTGGCACCCAGGGGAGTCTCAAAATTCTCAGGCTTATTTAGCTACTGGTTTAAAATACTTTGTTTTCATAAGGGGAAGGGATCTCAGGTCTTGAATCATTTACAAAATATGCAGAACTCTGGAACTTTCCTGATTTCTTCCTCAAATTTGCTGGAAGTAGTCTATACAACAGGGGTGGGGAGAGAGAGAGAGACTGGGTGCACTTGGACATCCCAGGAGTAAGCTGGAAACTGTTATTATTTCCATCTACCCTCTACTTGAAGAAATGGAGTGGAAAGGACAAACCCCAGAAGGCAGGGCACCCTCTCTTTAGCTTAGACCCTCATAGGAACACCTGCCACCTCCAGCTTAGGTACCTGTAGGAGCATTGCCAGAAATCTCTTCTCAGCCTCGTTCCGGCCATAGCACTGGAAGCTGTGTGTATAGAGTGCATACGTATAGCCATACAGGGACACTCGTGTGATGTCGCTGGTGTTCAGCTCCACGTTCTCTCCTGCTACGAAGGATATTTGGGTGGAGGCACCGCCTAAATCCAGGGCCCCCGTGGTTTCAACTCCATGAGGATGCACCCACATATGCCAAAGGTTCTTCTGCACAGTGAGAGAAGGAAGTGAGAAAAAAGACCAAAAGCACCATCTCTATTTGCCCAGGCTTCTCCACCCAAGCCCCATCTCTACTGCTAAGAAGTATGACAGGCAACATTCAGGGCCAATTCCTCCTTTTCTTTCAGGGGTGGTGAATTCACGTGCTTACAGGAGCTGGGTAGGCGACACAGATGAGTACTAAATGAGTGAAGTAGATCAGGTGTATGTAATAGGGACTGTGACGGACTGCAGAGTCCCCAAGTTATGCTCTGTTTCTGCTAGTTGTTACCATGCAGTAATGTGAGTCACTGTGACCAGTTCCTCCAATTTTGGTGGGGGTGAGGTGGTTAAAAAAAGGTAGAAATGTTCATTTTTATGTGAAAATTCCTAAATGTTAACTTTTGGCAATTAATTAAAACATTTAAAATACATTTGAGTGGAAACAAAATAGATCTTGGCAGGATGTGGTCTGGGTGCCCTGATTGTGTCTTCTGTAATATTGTGGTTGTCTCTTGAAGTTGACTTTCCTCTGTACCAAAGGAACAGGGAATGCAGGGATCAAACTGTAGGAAGGCCCAAGGACACAGAGGGAAGATTGCCTTCTGTCTCTGGGGACTCAGAAAAGCCCAATACCCGAGGGCTCTGTAAATTCCAGATGGCCATGGAGACTCTTGGAAGGGTCACTCCCCCACTGCCCTTCAAAAGACCCATATCCCAGTGTTAAGTTTAAACCCCAACCCCTTCAACTTCATACAAGCTAGGAAAGTGGCAATATTCCCTCTCCCTTACGCATTTGGTATGGTTCATAACCTATGTCTTTTCTTTTTGTTTTTCTTTTCTTTTTTTTTTAGAGACAGAGTCTCATTTTCTCACCCTCGGTAGAGTGCTGTGGCGTCACAGCTCACAGAAACCTCCAACTCTTGGGCTTAGGCAATTCTCGTGCCTCAGCCTCCCAACTAGCTGGGACTATAGGTGCCTGCCACAATGCCTGGCTATTTTTTGTTGCAGTTTGGCTGGGGCTGGGTTTGAACCCACCACCCTCGGTATATAGGGCCAGTGCCCTACCCACTGAGCCACAGGCACTGCCCCATAACCTGTGTTTTTTCCCCAGCTATTTGCATCTTGTCTTAGCTGTTGACTCACAGATGTTTCCCTAAAGCATTACAATAGGAATGATATAGGAAAGCTGTCTACCACTCACAGGGGATGGGATAGACAGTAAGGTTAAAAACCATGCATTTGTTTCCACACACCTCCAGGAAATTTCCCATTAAATAGTTGGCTGTAATCCATCCATATACCCCTTCCTCTTGCCCAGAAATGATTTGAGCACCCCTAAAATCAAAGGGCTGGGACTTGAAGTAGCTTTGGATGCTCGCAAGGACTTCATTAGCTGCTGTTTCATTTTGCAACCTATGCAAGGCACAGAACACAAAAGGCTGAGTGCCCAGATGACACAGTCTTAAAATACACAGTCTCCCTCGGGTGCAAGTGACTCCCCCACCTCCCTGTTGGAAGGGACGGCTTTCCTGATGTGTGTGGTACATAGCAACCCCTTTGCAAGTTGAAGTCTCCCAGGGCAACTGTAAAACTGAGATGGACTTGTTACCTGTCAAACTTCCAAGAAGGAAAATAGTTTTCAGTAAAAGTATAATTCGTTCTTCCCACCCCTACCTGTTCCTGTTCTACTCTCTAGCAATCAGCTAATAAGAGCCTCCTACTTAGCTGCCATTGTGCTGCCTCCGATCAGCAGAGGAAAGGAGATTGGCAAAGGCACACAAGTGTGCTAAGGATCTCTTGGGGGCACCATACGAAGGGGCCTTTCCTCATCCGACCAGAGGAAGGGGACCTTAGGAGAAAGGGGGAAAGGAAGAAGGCTGAGTTTTCTGCTGTTCCTGTTTCACGGTTTGGGAGAGCTTTGTCATGAGAGGATGTGATGGTCATCGTGGAGGTCAGCGGTTTGGAAAACCATTGGTGTGGTGACCCACAAAGAAGTGGCAAATGAGCTTGACACAGGCTTTAGACATCCATCTGCTGCCATTCCACCCTATGAAGGAAAGCTCATTTGGTAGATTATGTCCCCTTTCATCAGTAGGTTAAGAAAGCCAGGGGCACAGGATCAATTCAGTGCCAAGGTATCATTGCTTGAAAAAAAATGCAGATTTTTCCCAGTTTTATCAATTTCCATCACAGCTAATTCTCATTATCTTTTTTCCATTTTACTTTTCTAGTAATTAAAACATCCACTAGTTCCTCAGAAGAAGAGATCATAATCCAAACATCACTTCACAAGATGGAGTTCATATTGGATCTATTTACAGGAGACAGTCACTCTTTTTCCCCAACCGGTGAGCTTTCTGTTCCATAGTTTTTGTCATGGGCTACAAATTGGAGAGCCTTTTAATTACCATTCCTTACTGAGAGACTGGGGGGAAAAGTAACTAAGAAACAGGTTCTTAAGAACTCTTTTGATAAAAAAGAAACAGTAGAGGAAGGAATTTATAAATCATTCTTATAAACTCAATAATTTTGAAACACACTGCAGTACCCAAAAGTGTGCGAAGATTTCTGACTTCTGTCAAGAGTCTACATGGTTGACCAGAACATCAGAATAGAAACAGGGCTAGGAGAACTTCAGGTCCCATCCATCCAGGTGACCTTCATGATTTCTTTTTGTGATCATATAAAAGTGCCTCTGTGTGTTGTTTCTTTATATTTTCTTTGTGCCCAGATACATATAATTTTACATTATTGGAACCATAGAAAAAGTGCCTTTGAAACAGAGTGTCATCTTCTTGTGATAAAGTCTTATTTTAATGCTTACAGCAGCTTTTACCCTGAATAGATTTAAGTTTGGGGTTTCTTTTTGGAATAATTTTTTTTTTTTATTTCAGGATCAAGGAAATATTATAATGGAGAAAAGACATTCAAAACCAAACCAGGCTAAAGTCATGGCTTTTAGGAGGAACTAATTGACCGCATGAAATGAGATCTTTGTTTCAGAGCAACTCTGAAAGTCTTGACTGACATGAGATACAGACATTCCATTGTTTTAAAGCAGACTTTAGTGATCTTTTAAATATGGGTCACTATGAAAGTTTTGAGACAGACTGTGTTATGCTCCATTATTTTACTTTCAAGAAACACAGTTGATAGTGTCCTTCCTAATTCACCGGTGCAAATTTCAACTTGCTTGGCTTACTGGTGTTGCTGGGAGGGCTGCATTTGTTTCCTCTATGGAGATTTTGTTACTTGATTTTTGTGTATCTCAATACTTTCATGATGACCCATGAATATGGGCAGACACTACATAGCTGTGGGTTGAACTTACTACAGAATTAAGCTGGTTGTTCACAGTGCAAATTACAAGTGTCAAAAACAACTATTTTTCTAAAGAACTAGAGGTACCCCCCCCATGAGAAGATTTCATAGTACTTCCTTTCCCCTCGTTTTTTCAGTAAAGGCACCAAGGAAGATTTGAGAACTGTTTCATTCTGGGTATTAAAATAAAGACTAAAATTTTCCAACCCACATTTATAGCATGACACAGGCTTGCTTCTTTCTTTCAGGTTTGTTCCCCGAAACAGAGGGAAGGCAAGGCTGAACACTTTCTTAGCTATTTTGGTCAAGTAGGCGCCTTTGTGCCATTTCACTTTTACCTTAGCAAGCGCATCCCAGCTGTGGCTCCCAGATGAACGCGAGTAGATCCATGGAGATGTGTTGGAATCTGCCCCTTGACTTTTTGCATGCACTCCTCAAAGGCTTTGGGGACATCCTGAGGATTTTTCCCATAGCTTGAGATCCCAGAGCCTGAAGAGCAAACAGTCAGCATTTGTCAGCATTCCCAGGAACCAACAATAGGAATATAACTCTTTTTTTTTTTTTTTTTTTTTTTTGAGACAAGAGTCTCACTCTGTCACCCTGGGTAGAGTACCATGGATTACAGCTCACAGTAAACTCAGACTCCTGGGTTCTAGTGAGTGGTCTCAGCCTCCAGAGTAGCTGGGACTGCAGGCACCTGTCACAATGCCTGACTAGTTTTTCTATTTTTAGTAGAGACAGAGTCTTGATCTTGGCTCAGGCTGGTCTTGAACTCTTGAGTTCAAGCAATCCACCTGCTTCAGCCTCCCAGAGTGCTAAGATTAGAGGCATGAGCCACTACGTATGGCCAGGAATTCAATTTGTAAATAAAAAACAGGTTGGCTTTGGAAATTATTAACCCAGTAATATGGTAGGGGTCTGAGAACATGTGGATGTGCTAAATCTCATGTGGTCACACTGATAGCTCCACTCCCAACCGCTGAAAGGAATGAATTACAAGAGAGGAAAGTAAGCCAAGGCTTCTTTAAGAAGATGTTTTCATTGTGGAAACTTTAAATATAAATAAAAGTAGAGAGAATTTTATATTGAACCTCATGTAACCACTTCCCAGCTTCAACAATGATCAACTCTTAATCAATGATCAACTCTTACTTCATCTATACTCTTTCCCACTCTCTCCCCACAAAGCAAGTTGCAGACATTGTATCATTTCATTCCAATGTTTTAGTATATGTCACAAAGGATAAGAATTCTTTGAAAAAAAGCATAGCTGGAGTTCCATCATTACACCTATAAAAATTAGAAATA